TGGAAAATGTTTGGTAATTTGCAGCACACATAACAATAATAAAATTACTCTGTATGCATGATGATCATGGTTTCTTTAGATCGGTGTTTCCCAACCCGGTCACAGTCGGTCCACGTTTTTGCTCCCTCCCAGCTCCCTGGCAAACAGTCCACATTTTTCCTTCTTCCCAGCTCCCACAAGCAAAAACGTGCACTGTCTGCTTGTCCCCGAGGACCAGATTGGGAAAAAATGCCTTAGACCATTGCACATCTTGGTTTTTGGTGTTTGTTGAGAAGATGAGAGCCAGGATCCTTTTAATCTGGAAAAAAAAAATGCTGAATTTTTAAATTGGAAGTGGTGTTTTTTAAGAGTTATGCTCAAGGTTAAAGACGCCCACATTTAGCGAAAAAGAAAAGAATAGTGGCTTCTATCATGTGGCAGCAGATTAGTGAATCTTTAAAAAAGAGCCTGACAAATGGAGGTGCAGTTTTATAAGAGTTTGTAAGGAAGGTGATCCAAGTACTATGGACTGGCCTACTTAGTTTGACCGCTAAATCCATTCTGAAATAAAGATGGGAGGCTTTCTGCCAGAGACAGAGTACCTACACTTGATAATACTGTCAAAAAGCTTCATGGTCAAAAATGGCTCGAATCCAGCATTATCGCAGAAATAGGATGATTTTTAAAAAAAAGAAAAACGTCGGGGCTTAGTCCGAGATATTGTGTCATGCACAGAAGCTGAAAGAATTACCGAAAGACAGGGGACTTCTTACAGCCCAGCCAATTACACAGCACTCGGTCATACTAGGATATCTCACAAATGATTTGAACTTATCACTACCCAGCTCTGAAGTTGCTGCTTAATGGACTGTTTTAATAGTTTTTTTAACAGTTGACAAACATTGAATGTGAGCATTATCATACTGAATGAGGGGCACTTAATCCATTCACTCTCTGTGCTGATATAGGTGGTAGTAAAGTAGAAGTATGTCATTAGCACTATGGACCCCTTCTTGTAACAGATTTATGTAAATGCATGGAGCTCTTTGCTCCATGTCTACCACACAACAAAAGGATGTACTCGAGCCAGATTTTGTGCAAGAATGCAAGGTTAACAATCCCAAACATACACAATGTGTGCTGGGTTGTATCTTGGCCAATATGCTTTAATTTATTTGTCCATTTAATACTTATTAGTACTTGTTCCTTTGTGATTACTCAAATACAGTATTTCCTCAATGCACAGCAAGAACAGTGACATTGAAACTAAACATGAGCCTGCATATACTTGTACTATAGGGAACAGTCTTTGACAGATAGAGTAGAATATAAGTTGTGGTGTGAGTTGTGAATGATGATTTAATATGATGATAAATGACCAGTCCTTGCCATTAAACACCATTAGCGTTCCTATGTATGTGCGTTCCTATCTTAGGGTTGCTCTAATCGGAAACTGAATGCACTCTTTCTGGGCATGGATGCCATTAATGCATCGTAGGGTTTGTAATGGTAAACTTTGCCTTTGGGAGCAGAGAGAAACAGCTTTTTTGCCTGCTCAGAAACAGGATGCTCATGAACTACAGTCACAGACGATGATGATACTTGAGATTGGCTCCAAAATGACTACAGGAATCCTTGCTCGTTATATCTGTGAAATCACCTTCACATTATACACAGAGATGGGGAAACTCACATTTCTATTCTGCCGAAACAAAAGTTGATGCTGCGGGGCAATATATGCAAATCTGAAATGTTAACGTAGTCAGACAGATTTATTGAAGTGGTTAAGGATGGTAAAGGAACAGAAAGATCCTGGCTCAAGTCCCAGGAGGGCGCTGCTTCTCTGCAGGCACTTAGCCTGAATCGACTGACTAAAAATACCCCCACGCTATATTGTACGAATTTATGCATAGTAAAATTGTATGGCGTGCAATTAAAAAAAGATGTAAATCCCCTAAATGTCCCCTAAGTAAATAAAAATTAGCGAAGTAAACAGAAAAGCACGGTGTCTCTCAGTGAACAGGCCAGTCGGGTCACAGTCAGAGTCGAACGGCAGCCTCAGGCCCATTTAAAGCAGCTGGTCAGTTGGGGGACCTGGTGGGAGCATTTTCACAATGTGCTTCCCTTTTGGCACATCCATGTGATACGATCCTTGCTGTGTGGGGATTGAAGCTCTTCATTTGGAGCTTGAAGCTCCATTTCCCTGAATTTTATTACCTCGGGCCTACAGCTTTGGTTCAGGGGCTCCACACAAACGGAGCGTGGCGCTTTTTGGATTTCCTGTTTTTGTTTTTTTTTGTCATGTACATTGTGACTGCTTATTGAATGGGATGCCAAGTGTGCTGGGCTAATGTTACCATCCATGCATGAATTTAGATAAATCGGTCTTCTGCGATTGGCCAAGTGCTGAAGGCGGGGCAACCGGACACATACCTCTCAAGGATGCTAACGGTATGGTGGGGGTTGTTTGAAGTTCACATCACGGTCTTGGCTAAAGCTGACATTCGTATTTATTTATGGAAAGGTTCATGTCTGTTTGTGATACGTTGTAATAGTGAAGAGATGGGTTACAGAATCGGAGCCATGAGTGTATGGATCAATTAGGGACAAAAACTGAGTCATCAGACATTGGTGTCGGAATGAAAAAATGTAATGGAAAAAAACATCAAAATATCTTCCAGTTCTGTGGGCCTAGTGAGAGCCTGTGGTATGTTTCTGTGTTCCAGGGAGACTTTTCTTCTAATGAGTATTGGAGTTCTATTAAAAATCTGCTACACCAGCCACGGCTACTTTGAACAAATGAGAAATGTATTTCTATTGCCAAGAAAAGAAAATCTTGAGCGAGCTTCTAAGAAGCTCACACCAACCATGATAGTAAATCACCAAGCTCTACTCCATGGTAAGAAATAAGTAATAGATCTATTTGTGCTGATGAAAAGAGCGTTTACCTAAAACATGCCCTGCTCCAACCCGCTGCCTCCTGCAATTATCATTAACACAACAGGAAAGGACACAAGGTAGACGACTCCTTTGCTTTGCCCGCCATGAAAACCAGGGGAAAGAAAGCAGCGTGTTACCCACAGCCATGTCAGCCGGCCTGAGTAAGCGGCCTCAGGAGACACGGCGCTCGATGACGGAGCGCCATGCTGCACCGGATAGCGAAACGGGACGCACATTAGCTGTGGAGTGACTCAGTCCCAGGGGGGTGCAGTACTAGACAGGACATCCCCATTAGCTCTCGGCATGCAAGCAGCGTCACCTGGCAGCGGGCGCTTATGGAGTACAACAGTAACGGGAGGCATTTTCACAGAAGCGAGAGCTTCATTCTGCAAGCAGGACGCATGTCTGATGACACAGGCCGCATCCCACATCGCTCCCAGTCCAGAACACCAGCACAGGCAGTTCTGTGTGCTTTGAGCTCACATCTCATGTTTGTGTTTTTCTCTGTCCGGAATCTGAACTGTTCGCAGGAATGTGTGCCTGTACGGCCGTGTCCCATCTCACAATGGGTCCCGAGCGGGCCACTCTGATTGGTTAATGGATTATTAAAAAGCTGATAGATCTATTAGATTCTGCTCTTCTTCTCAATCTGTTTTCATTAAGCACATCTTTGCTATCCAGCAGTGTCAATTATACAGTGAAAAATCCAAAGTATTTCAGACAGGCAAATTATTTAATGATTTTCTTTTCCAGAATGATTCTGAATGGAGCAGTTTAGGCATAATTTGAAGGGCTTTCTCTGGGACGCACACCCTGCCTTTAAATTTGCAGCAAAGCGCTGTGATTCAATCCCACACCCTGCAGTACACCTGCCAGACAGCAACCTGCTAGCAGAACCGGAGCCCAGGCGGGTCAGTGGGTGTTCAAACAGGTCGCACTGATGAGCAGCCCCTAGAAACAGCATCACACATGGGCCCTGATCAGAGGGCCCTGTCACCCCTGCAGCGATATTCACTGCGGTCTCATTATCAGCCCTGGTGCTCACGGTAATTCAAGCTGATGGCCACTGGGCTTCATCTATGCATCTGTTTCCCATGTTAAAAAAAAATATCCTGGTAGGGGCATGTGGTCTGCCTGGGAGTTCTGGTGGTCTATTTGTTTGCCTCGCAGTCCCCAAGATGCTGTAATAGGTAAATAAATGCCCCCCCACTCATTTTTGTAAGCTCACTGCTGAAGCTGCTTAATCCAGCCCTCCCTCAATTAGCTGGGGCAATTAGTGGGCTGCTTACACCGCTCATGTCCAGCTCTTTGAACAAGAAGGTGTGCTGCTCTTTTGCCTGGGACACATTCATCATCCCTAACGGCGATAAATTAGTCTATTTACATCTTCTCCCCTCCCCATGAAATGGCCGCAACCAGCCCTCAGCTCCCCTTTTGCAGTGCACCTGTGTCCAGAAGCAAACAAAATACAGACTGTTTTATCACAAGGGGAGGTGGGTTGGGTCTCCTTAACCTTGATTGCCGTGGCAACTCCAAAAGAACTATGTCTCATGATTTAGCAGTAATGGCTTCTCCTGGTGAGGGGAATACTGAAAGGGGGTTTTGATGAGAGAGGGGAGAACAGAAATATCAGGGGGCCCCTGTCAGGCCCGAGGGGCCCTCACTCACTCAGACAGATCAGCACGGGCCTCAGCATGATATTTCAGTGGGCAAAACCTGGCCTCCTGTTTGTGACGGTTACCGCATTCTTGTATTGCTATTGGCGAGGAGATGAAATGTTTCCTAAGTGCAGCTTCCCAGGCTTCTTGTGTTCAGGTTCCCATTTGACTGAAGTGCAGTGCTTGAGGGTCTGCCAGCTTAAGGGGTTTGGGTAATACTGCTTGTTGTCTGGTCATTACTGGACGGGTCCTGGTTTGGCAATTAACTGAAGCAAAGCTGAACAGACCCTCCATGTGTGTGGAGCAGTGTTTGCATTTGTATTACTGAAACTGCTTCTCTCAGTCCTTTAATAACTAATAGCAAGGTCCTCACTGCCCATATGCCCACACAGTTATACTCTCTTTCCTCCCTCCCTCCACCAGGTCCTGAAAGGCAGCAAGAAGCTCTCACTGTCTGTGCGTTCGGTGGGCCGCATCCCGGGGGGCTACGTCACCAATCACGTCTACACATGGGTGGACCCGCAGGGCCGCAGCGTGTCCCCGCCCCCAGACCTGCCTGAGCACCGGAGCTCCGCCTCCGGCTCTGGCTCAGCTGGCCGCCGCGTTGACAGCCTGCGCCGCAGCCATCTGCCGCTGCTGCAGGACGGCGATGAGAAGAAGGTGGGCCGCATGTGTGTGCAGGCTGGGAGCCGCATGCGTGTGCAGGCTGGGAGCCGCATGCGTGTGCAGGCTGGGAGCCGCATGAGTGTGCAGGCTGGGAGCCGCATGCGACATCTGTACATGTGACTTATATATGACATCTCTACATGTGGCGTATATATGAAATCTCTACATGTAGCTTACATATGACAGTAACATGTGGTTTACATGTGCCATCTGTACATGTGGCTTACATGTGTCATCTGTGCATGTGGATTACATATGGCATGTGTAAATGTGCTTTACATGTGTCATCTGTACTGTATAACTGTATAACAGGTACTGTATAAAATACAGTACCTGTATTTTATTATAGCTTTGTTGTGTTTTTATATACATTTATAAACTATGAAAGTTGTTTGATGCTTGCCTGCCTATACACTGTGCTCTATATTGTTGCCATAAGACTAGATTACTGTGAGTTGTGAGTGTGTGGGTCATCTGGCTAGCATTGCTTCAGTAAATGTTCGAGCGCTCTCTTTAAATGGATTAAGTCTCCTAGGATTTGACCCAGCAGCCTTCTGGTTGCAAATTATTTCACGTAAATGTCTGGCTGCTCTTTGTGCTTTGCTGGAGCAGTGCAGGTCGGCAGTAAGGGCTTGGCCTGACTTGGCAGGGTCCAAAACATCACAATGAGGGGCCAACATGTTTTTTAGTGGTTAAAAAAGTGAAATTAGCAAAAGGCTAACTGAATTCTTGCTCCGTGTCACCTTGCTGTGTAGTCACATGCTGGGAAGGTCCTGGCAGGAGGCAGTAACATGTGTTTGATCACGTGACCCAGATACCAGGGCTATCCTGACCCTACAGAAAGAATTAATCTCAATCTTCAGCCAACCTTTCAGATCTCCACTGTAGATCCAGACAGCTGCATCTCTCGATCCATGCTAGGGCTGGGAAACTCTTTTAAAAAGGCATTTGAATTTGTATAACAGATTTATCATTTGAAGAAATTCAGATATTAATTATGAAGTTATACTACAAACCCAGCCCATCATTTTGTGCAACCACTGTTAAAGGTGACACCTGCAACATTAGCCTATTTTTGTCTATTGCCAAGTGAGGAAAATGACAAATAGACAATAATATACAACACATTTTTATTTATTTAGCTACCCACAGAAACGCCAACAGCAACATCAAAAAGTCATCTAAATTGTGGTGTGAAATTAAAATATCAAATGATTCAGATGAGGCAGCTGACACAGACTTATATACTGTACATAAAATAGCTTAACATATTTAAATGACATCAGTGCAATCAAGTCCTACCTTCAGTTTAGGCTACATCTAACTATGCTTGGGCAATATTTCATCTTTCATGCCATCATACTGTCCATACATTAAACTGTGAGATGTGGTATTTTGATGATGATTTCCAAAGCAACACTATTCTGGTATAGTGGAGGGAGGTCCTCCACGATAAGTTTTCAGACTGCACCTCTCAGGTTTTAGGAATTTTTATATTGCCAGATTCTTTTTCTGATTAACATAGTTTCACATAGTTTCAGCCATTCTAGCTAGCTGAATTAATTTAGGAAAGTCTGCCCCTAGTGGCCTACTGAAATCCTCAAAAATTCGAACGTGGATTTTTGCCATCGCATACGTAAATATTTTTTTAATTCTAATTTTATTCGAATACCGAAGTTCGACTTCCCAGGCCTAGTCCATGCAGCATGGGAGCCATCTGCTCCAATATTAGCTCGTCTGAGAATACAAAGGTTTAAGTACGTGCAGGGTTAGTCTGCTCTTTTAATTATGGCCACTTCGCCTAGGGTGCCTGGGTCAGATAGCTGAACGGTTCCTCTGGTATCTAATTAAATCCCGTCCGTCACGTCATTGGACGGCTTCCCTCTGAGAATCTACCGCGTCTGTCAGAGCTGTCGCCAGCTCTCCCCTGGTCTCCCCAGAAACACGGGTGGGCCTGCAAAATGAGGTCATTCGTTATCGCTTATAACACCAAGGTCACTGGAGCCGCAGGAGCTCGCGGCACCACGTAAGGTCCTGTTGCAGAGCTGCTACCTTTGCTGCATGACCAGCTGCGAATTGTGCTTTGTGCAGAGCACCACAATAAAAAAAATATATTGATGCACCTTGGATATCTTTGCTGATGGAGGTCCTGTGTGAGGAGAGTATCACTAATGAGGACACTTTTCCCAGTTTCCCTCTCCTCACCTTCCCCCTGACTTTTAAATCCCTTCCCCTGTGCTCCAGTTTTGTCCCTGTCCAACCAGACCTCTCATGTTGTCCTTCAAGCGAAGCGCCCCCTTGTGGCTCAGGGTGCTGCAGTTGGGGTCAGTTTGAGCCACAGCTAAAGGACTGGGGTCTGTCTGGTGCCAGTCACCTAACAAAGGTGCTTAGTCACGACATATTTCATTATTTTCTCTTCTGTAAAAACTGTTTTTTCACGCTATATAAGATTTTTCCAGTAGAATATTTATCAGTGCAATTCAGATGGAGGTCCTGCCTCAGTCACCAGAGAAGCCTGTACTCCTGCTGACTCAGAGCCACTGATGAGCAAGGGTTTGTTACCCCAGTTAGTAACGAGGTGTCATCTGAAGGCTGTGTGAAAGTGAGACAATCTGTCAATGGCAAAGGGACGCTCACTTTCGCTTGGGTTCCTGTTTGTATGATGAAGGAGCTGTTTTTCTTCCTTGCCTGCTCACCTCCTGCGCTGGACATTGGCTCCTGTTTAATGCTGGTCCCGACTCCCTTTCTTGTGAGACGCCTTCTCCCACGCTCTATCCGCCGCACAAACGCCTACGCAGGCATGTTGGCTACGGGTGGGCCGCGGTGGTCGGCCATGTGAGGAAGCGTGGCCCATATGCATGTCGCTGAAGCGACTGACTGCTAGATCAGATTTAAATCATGAATCTTCCCATTATAATGGCAGAGACACAAAACACACAGTCTTGGCTCCAAAACAAGGAGAGCAGAATAGGTCAGCCAGACTGGATCCAGAGACGGAATACGGTTGGTCAGTGTTTGAGGGGTTACTGATGGCTCAGATCCAGACTGACTTCAGCTTCTGCCAGGAAATGATCTCCGTTTGTCTTGGGGTGGGGTGGGGATTTGGTGACTCAGGGGTTCCATTCAATCAGCAGCATGTGATGGGTTGGGGAGTGGTGATTTCTTGATGGGTGAAGCATTTCTCTATTCATATTTTGTCATTTTTCAGCATCTTTTATTCCACCTTTGGTTTTAGTGAAAGGCTTTCTCTCTTGCACAGAATAATCCGTTGTCTGTTCCCCTGCAGGTGAACTTGGTTATGGACAACGGTCGATCCCTCGGCCTGATGATCCGCGGGGGATCCGAGTATAACCTGGGGATCTACATCACTGGTGTGGACCGTGGCTCCGCAGCAGAGCTGGGGGGACTCAAGGTGAGCCCGGGGCGGGGGGGGCGGTTCTCCAATACCCCTGCGTGTGTCACTCAGGACGGCCTGGCGTGCATTTAGACCCCCTGCAAATCCTGTCAGCCTGGGCGATGAGCTCCAGGACTCCTGTGCGGTGAACCACAACACAGACGCCGCCATTAACGGACACCTGCTGGCCTGCTGGAATCACCGCTGGTGTCAGTGAAGGGTGATTAATCGCCCACCATCCCCATCATTAATCACCATTTTGTTTATGTCTGGCTTCCTCGCCCCCCCCCCCCCTGGTGAGGAACTTGGATGCGGCTGGGTCTCATAATTGACCTGTTGTTTTATGAACAGCTGTCAACTGTCGAAAAAGGTGGAAAGGGGCTGTACCAGGCCAGAGTGCTCTGTACACCCTCTGCTCTGCTCACTGCATGATGGGCAAAGTGAAGTGCCGTTAGGGTTCCCTCTGGCTGCTGTGAAAACACATCATATCTGCTCATCTTACTGCTCTGAACAAATGCAACGTCTTGTGTTATGTAGTGACTTTCACGACACAGTCGGCCCAAGGTCCTTCACATGGGTGTGTTGTGATGCATTACAATCTGATTAAGACAGAATGATACAGAAACGGAAAGAAAGAAAGAAAGAAAGAAAGGAAGAAAGATGACAATGGAGAACTGGAACAAAAAGCTCCCAAATAGGGAGAAAAAAAAATCCAAGGGTTCTAGGTCAACTGGCTGCGCAACACCCTCTGGGCATGTTAATTATTTTGCAAAGTGAACATTGTTGGCTTGTTCAGCTGATTAACTCTGATTGTTGTCTAGGTTTATATATTTCTTTTGTATATGGAGGTCTGGGAGATGTTCCACACGTCTGCAGTTTGATTCCAGAGTCAGAGTCTGTGGTCAGAGTGGTGGAGTTATACACGGAGAGACAGATATGGAACACAGCTAAAATGCCCGTTGGCGTTGTGTCCTGAGGGCATCTGGTGTTTTGGCAGTAGGCTTCATGCAGTCGTCAGCCAGAGATGAACTTTCCGGCCTGTGGCCAAAATCTAAACTTGGGCTCTTTAAAGGAAAAAAAAAAAATGTAGGGGAAAGTGTTTTCCGGGTCTGCCTCTCCCCACGTTCTTGAAAATAAGACCATAGCTTCATCAATGATTGCTAGGCCACAGTTAAGTGGGCGTGTTTCACCACTGGCCAACTTTATAAAATGCACCAGCTGGAATCCTCATTTACATTTGGCGTGAGTGTCTGACTGGCATTCCATCCAGTCAGTGTGAAATAAAAGAACTAAATAAATGAAAAACAAAAATAATCGGAGGTTTATAGATTCTGTCTCTCTAGTCATTTGACAGTTTTTTCCCCCATGTGTTCTCAGGCAAAAAGTGACACAGTGGCCCACTGGGTAATGATGTGGTCTCATTACTGCAGAGCTGTGGGCTCTGGTTCTGTTCTGCATTTGAGTGTTCAGACTTTGCATGCTCCCCTAGTTCCTGGTGGTACTGCAGTTCCCTTCACAGCACAAAGGCTTAACCAAAGACGCTTTAGGTGGACTGATGTTTCTGGGTTGTCTAGGGTGAATGTGCTGTGATGGATCGACTGGGGTGTCCTGTGCTTCCTGGCATAGACTCCAGGCTTGGAACGACCCTGCGCTGGATAAGCTATCATGCTAGATGGACAGATGTTCCAAAACGCCACCACAGCTCAGTGTCTAGCAGAGGTAGCTGGGCATTTCTCCGTGAATGTCTTTTTTCCACGCTGGTGAGTTTGTACTGATTTGTGACAGTTTTTTGCACAAGGAGTGAAATTGAAGGAGAAAGCAGAATGAAGGACAAAGGGAGATTTAAAAAGAAGTTGAGAGGGAATCAAAGGTAAATAGAAAGGTGGGGGGGGGGAGTGATATAAAAGTGGGGACAGAACGATGAGGGCAGCGGTAACTCAGGGCTCCAGCAGCACCATCGACTAACTCTCAGCTGCGGCCTTAACTGCGCAAAGCTGCCTGACACCCAGCAGGGGGAGCCGAGGAGTAGAGGGGGCGTACGTGGAGGAGGATGAGGAGAGCAGCCCTTTGGGAAGGCGAGGGATCCCCAGAGCGAGTAGCATACAGGGGCTGACACAGGCAGAATATCGTGAGTTTGGGGGGGGGGGTTCCGTTTGCTGCCCTGTCAGTTTATTTGCAGGTGCAATTGGGGGTCCTGGGTACTTCTGGCTGAATGAGGGTGCTACAGGAGGTCCTGGCCTTGGAATGATGTTGATCTGCATTCATACCTCAATGTCGGGTGCTCTTCTAGAGAACAAGACACCCACTGGGCGCAATTACTGAATGTGTCGGTGATTAGCGGTAATTGACATACACAGCAAGAGAGTGGTTAAGGGGCTTGTGAACCTGAGACCTGGAAATCAGAGAAGGAACCAGCTCTGCAACTACATTTGTGATCTAAGAGAAAGCTCAGATCCCAGATCTGTGTCCACCATCTTCAACCTAAGCTGAAAAATGCTGGACTAAGCACAGAAACATTCCGTCAGGCTACAGAGGTAACAGTGTAAAGCAGTAGGACACCTGAATTTTATAGTGTAAAAACTGTAGGAAAACAATTTCTTCTAGGGGACAAAATCTTTCCAGGGGACTAAGTCCCAGAACTACAGCCCTGTGTGCCTGAGATGTGAGTGTCACATCTGCCCATAGACAGTGCTTAACGCCCTGGGGCCCAGCCTCACCCATGCAGCTGTCCTGGTCCAGGGAACCAGGTAACTCACACCTGTAACTGGGTTGATCAGCATAATAAAGTTAGAAGTGGGCTAAGTTAAGGCTGCCTCAGGAAGACACCAGAGAGACATCACACTTCACCTTTCACTGAGTCACATCATTTATCTGGAGTAATCATGAACCAAAAACATCATCTGACCTGCCATTGTGTTAGGTAACTTAAAATTTTACATATTTATGCAGCTGGCGGGGGATACTGCAATTATCGTTAGAGACAGTCTGACTTGGACATCTGAACTTCTGTAGTAAAATACTTCCTGCTGTCTAGGTTTAGTTGCTCTGTATGTTTCTTCTGCGCAATTAGTCCTAAAGTACATGAACCTCCACAGCTACGTGGACAGCTCCATTCACTCAGTGTCTCACCATCCTTCACAAAGTCATTATGCTCATTATGCAACCACGCTCGTTACTGCAATTGCTCCATTTTTCCCCCGAACTATGAAGCGTTTTCCCTGTTATCTAAAATTCCTCAGCCGAGGCTGTTCTTCATTAAAAGTTTAAGCCCTGTTTGTGCATCCCAAGCACAGCTAAAGAGGTTTAAACACTGCCTTCAGAGTTGCCCCTTGAGGCCTGTTTGTGCGTCGTCTTTGCAGCTAAATGGGTTGAAACACCACCTTCAGATTCCTAGCCAGAAGATTAATAATGGCGCTCTTTCAAGGTTATTAAGTACAGTTCAAGGCTCCTCTATGCGTGTCTTATATATGATTATGGAAGCACCACAAATTATAAATTACACGTTGAAAAGCACCTTGCAACTGCAGACTGCAAACTCCTCCCTAGATGATGAACAAACTCAAACAAAGCCCAGAGTTTGGAGAATCTCAAGGTAAAGAGACTTTAGTCCTAATACAAGGGCTTTGGTTACCATATGACAGTAGTGACAAAGGTGTCTCTAGGTCCCAGCCCCCGCTATTGACCTGGGACTGAGAATGGAAGCAGATGTCCAAATATTCTTGAATCGGCTCCCCTCAGGTTTGCTAATGACATGCAAGATTGTATTTTATTTTATTTTAATTGTACGTTAAATCGGTATCTTCAGCTGTCGCTGTTCCAGAGCACCTGAGAGCAGTAATAAGAAAGCACTTTCCTGAGCTAGCAGACAGTCCCACCAGACCGGCCTCTCCATCTTGTAAAGCAGGTACGGTTCAGTCTATGGACGTCTGTTCCTGCCCTGTGCAGTTAGCATCGGGGGGCTCATTAAGCTGTTGTGTAGGGGTGGGGGTCTCTGTGGGCATGCTCATTCACTCAATGTCAGCAAGGGGCTTGGGGGAAGGGAGTAGGGAATGAGGGATGTAGGGAGAGGGACTGAGCACTAGTCTGGTCATGCGGGGGCTGGCTTTAGAACTACAGCCAATTGACTTTACCTCTTGCCAACTCATCACCTGCTCTGCTGACCAGGGTAGAGATAATTAAAAACATCTACAGCCATCGTGGGGCAAGAACAAAAGTCAATATCTAATTTCTCCCCCCTGTATCCTTCCAAGAAACCTTTGGAGGCAGTAGTTTTAGGTCACGTTGGGAGTTGACTTAGGAACCCAGGGTGGAGGCGATGGCAGCTGAGGCGGATGGAACCTCCTGCTAAGGACAGATTTTAACCTGAAATGGTATAAAACCTATATTAGTTCAAAAGTACAGAAATCAGAGATATACATGTCACAGGGGTTGAAGGTACCTGGTCTTTTTTTTTGGCAGTCAAGTCTGATGTGGTTGCTTTCCCCTTGGGTCACATCCATCTCGGAGGTTCTGGTTATCATTGAAGATTCTGTGTTACAAACTATGTTAGGGAGTGATGTAATCACTTGTTCATGAGTGAGGGAAAAATGGCGCAGGAGATTAACAGGAGGATTGTGCAGTATCAGCAGCTTTATGGGTGCTGTACCGTTCTGTCTTGGAGAAGAGGGAGCCGAGCCAGAAGGTGAAGCTATCAATTTACCGCTCGACCTACGTCCCTAACCCTGACCAATGTTCACCAGCTTCAGGTAGTGGCCAAAAAAACGAGATTGTGGGTGGATACATGCAGCAGAAATGAGCTTAGCCTTAGAGACCTGGTGAGGAGCTCAGACATTAACAGTACAGCCGCTGCTCCTCCGTATCGAAAGGAGCCGGTTGAGGTGGTTCAGGCATCTGCCTAGGATGCCTCCCTGGGGAGATATTTGGACATGTCCAACTGGGAGGAAACCCCAGGGCAGACCCAGGACACGCTGGAGAGATGATATCTATCAGCTGGCCTAGGGATGCCTTGATGGCTGGTGAGAGGGAACTCTGGGCATCCCTCCTCAGACTGGTACATCCACAACCCGGCTGAGTGGCAGAAGATGGACAGATGGATGGAATGTAGTCTCATGTACCAACTCCAACATCATGGCTAAACACTCTGGATAACATAATTTGTGAAACATTTTCTATCGAAATCCTTGAAAAAGAACTGTTCCTTTTATGCAAACAAAAAATGATCTGGCCATTTTGTTCAATCAGTAATGGAATTTAGATAATAATAATAATACTTCATTGATTCCTTATGGAGAGACTCTTTTCACCTACCCCATCTTGCTCTTCATGGCACACATGAAGAGCATGGTCATCTCCCACAGTGGCACCCATAGTGCCGAGAGTTAAGGGCCAAGCTCAAGGGCCTCACAGATAGGACCATTCTGCTGAGGTCAGGCTTGAACCACCAACCTCCTGATCACAGGCACAGCCACGCACTGCCCCTAAAGAGTAAAGCAATTCTACCCTTTTTCCTGTTGGGTGTCTTACTGAAGCAGTTGAATATCACTCACAGGCACTCCTGGCTCAGCGTCCTTCAGGCTATAAATACCAGGCTTTGACCACCACTCTGCCTGCTGTCCCCGCTGAAAGGTCCAACTGCAGTGCTGACCCTGAATCACAGCCTGCAACACTCTGGCTCCATTGCACTCCTTTCAATCATTATTCATCACCGACCCCAACTGTTGTGTCCTCTCTGCCTTTTTTGAACTGTTTTGCATAAAGTGAATGAAGCCTCTTGAAATTTGAACCCTTAATAAGCTTCTTGCCAGTACTACAAAACCAGTGTCTGTTACTTGGGGCAGATCTGCTCTGAATAGAAACAAAATTTGATTTGCAAATGCTTGCCCTGTGTTCTCTCTTCCCCTGGGCCTCCATTATATTAATAACATATTCACCCTCTCTTATTTTTTTCTGTTGTCTGGTTACTGTGAAAAGAAGTTGAATGTTGACTCAAAATTCCGGGATGTTACATCAAAGTGGCTGACAGAAAATGGCGGAGAAGGACGTGAAATCTGGGATGCCGGACTGGCAGAATGTTGTGGAAAGTTGAGGTGCCATGGTCGTTTTGTGCTTCAGTCCCCCCATGTCGGGGGGGGGGGGCATTTCGATTCACTCAGAGGTACTAGAATCTTCACAGTTTGTTTGATTTACGGCACCCTGGGCAGGCAGGAGATTCTCTGAGAACAGGTCGATGAGAAGCACTGTTGTATCTTAATAGCTTCTGTCACAGGGAGCAAAATCCCAGGTTTAGCTTGTGAAATCATTTAGAAAGCTTGCAAAGAAGGAGTATCCACAGACTGGAGACACTTGGTCATATGGTGAAGGTATGTCATAGCATTTCGGTCTTTTAGGCTTCCTCTGTGACCCAGAGTGGGAGGATGCTGAGGACTCCTGAGAAATAGCAGATCATGATCGGGATCATTCCTTCAGGGAAACCCTCCCCCTTTTTCTGCCCCCCTCCCCACCTTATATGACCGGTCTTGTCGCGGTCAGCCTGACACTGATGTAATACACGTGACATTAGTTGTGGTCCTTCTTTCCTATTCTGAGGTCACATTTTTGTGACTGCATGTCCTTGAGTGTGACCTCTGACCTCTTGTCCTCTAATGTTGAGTCAAACACAACATGGAAGTAGCACTTCACTTGTTCTGTCAGCCTTCCCGGGTCACCACCCCACGCCCTCCTTAGAGCCACTCAAGGCAGCCTGTGTGCTCTGTCCCTGTGCCCCCGCCCCGACCAGGTGGGCGACCAGATCCTGGAGGTGAACGGCCGTAGTTTCCTGAGCGTCCCACATGACGACGCCGTCCGTATCCTCAAGTCCTCGCGCCACCTGATGATGACGGTGAAGGATGTGGGCCGGCTGCCGCACGCCCGCACCGTGGTGGGCGAGACCAGGTGGATCGCGAGCTCGCAGGTCGCCAAGGGCCCCGCCACCAGCAGCGTCACCGGGTGGGTGATGGGCTCTCTGGCTGGGTCGAGGTGGTGTGATTAAATGGGTGGAGGTGAGAAATGGTGCATTCTGATGGAGGGAGAAGTCTGGCCGTCACTATAGATGGCTGATCATGGGGTGGATGGATGGATGGATGGATGGGATGTGCAGAAAGGTGGCTATGGATAGGGTAGCTGTGATTACGGGTCTGTCTCTTTGGTGTCCAGTTGAGATGAGGATGGATGTGATGCTGTCAGGGGCGTATTATTAACACATCAGATTTCCCCAGTGACCGCTGAAGGGGCAGCGGCTTCAGGGGCTTGTCCAATCAGCCGCCGTCTCAGGCCCGTTTCCCTGAATTACTGGATTAAAGGGAAAGTCCGAGGAATTGTCTCCTGGTCCAATTTCAGACAAGCGCCCGCATAGATCTGAGGGATGTTTGAGATTCCCTCAGCCGCCCCCAGAATTATAATTTACACTGATGCTGAGCTTCCCCCCCCCCCCCCACTAGCACACTGTGACTGGTCATTTCACAGCATGACTGCATTGCTGGCTGTACTAGTCTTATATATAGAACAGCAAAATACATAATATGTGTGTGTGTGTGTATCTGTGTGTGTAAATGTCTGTATGTCTGTACGGGTGTTTCAGGCTCTGTGTGTGCGGGCATTAGGTCATAAAATACTACTAATACTAATACTGCTTACTGTTCCTGTCTCTGCTGTGTTCTGCAGCCTTTCTGTGGATCAAGGTGCCTCAGCGTCAGAAAAGGTGAGATCAGCCTTATGGCCTTGTCAGCTGCCAGCATAATAACTGCGGTAATCGTATGAGACACCACAGCACTAACAATCACAGCTGCGTAAGGAGAACATAAAAGAGCTATGTCCATACATTTATTATATGGTTAGCTGACCATACATTAAGATACTCACAAAAAGCTTTAGAAGATATGATTTAGCATCTAATAGGTGTACACAACACAGTGACCCTCAACCAGCCAATCACAATCAACAGGTCGACTGGCCAGACAATTCTGGTCCATCGCAACACAACTCCCAGTTTCAGAGGCGGAGCGATTCGGTTGCTCGCCAGAGTATTTTGTTTTGTAGAAGTAGCTCTCACTGTGAAAGAGGATGGAGACCACTGACATAACACAACAGTTGTTGGATATAACTTTGAGTTTTGCATTATGATTGTTAAAATCACTGCTGTGTGGGGCCCACATTAATCTATTATTTAGTCTCATCTAAGTAGAAGCTATACTTACAGGTTTATGATTTGTATAATTCATTTCTGTATAATGAGTTAAATCTGGAGCTGCATTTGTTAATGAACCTTATTAATACCAGGTGTGATGATGCAGAGCATTGCAACACTGGCCAGCAATGTAGTCTCATCTGAACATTTATGTATAATTCATTATCTAATACATTCACTATTACATAAACATATAAATAAATATAACAGCAATTCTGATCTGTTACTTAACGAACAGAAGCCATTTAAAAATGCACACCATGCGTCATGGCTGGTTGGACCCCACCATCACGATCAAGAGGGGGGGGGGGTTCTGTCACTGTCACCCTGCATTACGCTTTGTGGTATGATGTTCAGATGAACACGGGGTGGGAGGAAACTGAGGACTCATTCCTTTAGGGAAATGATCCCCCCCACCACCAACTTATTTTTTGTGGCACCTTCCTGCTGCAAATTCATTTATCTGTCTCCTGCTCCCAAATTGCCCAGATAACATGGCAAAAAGAAACTGACTATTTTTGGCTCCTATCACAGCCGGGAGCTGGCAGATAAATATTGACTGTACGGAAGAGCACTTTCGCATGTAGGGGGGCAGATATTTAGGAAGGTGAAGTATGGGACGGGCCATTCGTTCCTCTGCGGGATGTTTGCAGTGTCTCCTCTGCCCCTAAACACGCGATTATAATGAGTAACGGCACCTCGTCTTGGGGAGGGAGCTGAGAGCACGCAGGGGCTACGGACTGGAATGCTAATGAGGCGGACAGGACCCGGCGGCCGAAACGCGGACAGCGTGCAAGGCCACGCCACCACCGGCCGAACGGTGCGGGGCCGCTTGCGGGTGCACGTGTGCGGCCGGAGCAGAGGCCTCCCCGCTGCAGTAGGGCGCCGGGTGATGGATGCGATTCCTTTACGGCTTCCTGCCGATTCCGGCTCAGGACAAAGAGCATCTGCGGTGCGCCGGGAAAATGGGGGAAGAGGGCAGCAGTGACACTATTTCTTGCACTGACAGGGGAAATAACTTGCAGTTTTGGGAAACACAGGAAGTTTAAAGGAGTTAAGGTAATTAGACTTAGTAATTTACCAGCTGGAGTAAATGTATGCAACTACTCATATCAACGAAGTTGATAGGAAAAAGTGTGATATGATATGAAAAAACTTTTAAGTGTCAGGTAAGCGACTGTAATAATGAACGAATTAATTACCAAACGTATTAAGATGCAGAAGCTTAGTCGGCAGAGCGCTATTGATCTTCCCGCTTGTGCCCAGTCAGCTTGTGAGAAACTCGCGTACCTGCCCCCATAACTGGTCCGTGTCAGACACGCCAGCCGTAGAGGAGCTAAAGCACCGCCGCTGCGGTACCCCGCCCCCCGTGCCGAAACCCTGCATCCGTATAAACGACCCACGCGAAGGCCCCCGGTGGCATTAGAAGGTTAATAAATATGAGCTAATTGAAATGTCCCGACCCAAAGCGAGGAGACGCACACACAGGATCCTCCGTCGGAGTGTAATTATCCAGCCAAACAAGCCGAGACCCGATAATTAACCGCCGAGGGTGTCGGGGAGGGATAAGGGGAGTTTGCGGCACCGTGCAGGTATGATTGCCCCGCTACATTTATGTATGTTATGGGGCATTACCCAGAACAGCACATTTAACCCGAGATCAGATCGCATGTGAGCAGCACTGGAAATAGGTTTTAATTTTTTATTCTTTTTGCACAAAATAACAATTTGCAGCGATGGCTTAGTGCGGCAAAGGGATAGAATATTATTTTGAAACAGCCATCGATAAATGACGGTCGCATACTTTACTATCTGTGCGGCATGCGCCGTCAAGTCGTGGATAGGATATGAGGTGGATTTCTTATAATCGCATCAAGACGCGGCTCCTGTGGCCAGCATCGTCAGGATTTTAATTACATTTGAACCTGTACCTGACCGCTGTGATAATTAAGAGACCGGTCGCCCAGGGTAACCGTGACCATATCACAGGAATCATAAAGGCTGACCCCCCGCCTCATGTCTTGACAGACGTGAAAAAACATTCTGGCTGTTGGTGGCAGGCAGCACTGCTATTGACGATGGCCCTGCAGAAAGGGATTAACTTGGGTAGAGTGATTGAAGATGCAGCTCCAGTGCAGTCGTGCATCACTGCGGACCGTCTCCTGCACTCCTCTCTACGCATTTCCCAGTCTGGCAGGGGTCTGATTATTCACACGGTTATTTCTTATCATTTTGTTTCTCGCCAGTTTGACATTGTGCTGCACATAGTTGTGACATTCGTGTTTGTCCTCCATGATGCTGAATAATTCAGTCTCTGATAGGCATGTCCACAGCCTAAGAGCTGACAGACTAGGCTTTCTTGTAACCAGCCTGTGTGTCCTGGCCGTCTTACTCCTATGGGCCACTGTGGCCCTGGATCTGCTTCCCTCAGTGTATTTCCTGGTCTCCATTTAAGGTATCAGCTGACACATCATGTTCCCCGTGTGCCTGGTTTTGTTCCCTGCTGCAGGGAAGGTACTTCCTGTGAGTGCAAAATGGAAAGGGGGGGGCTGGGGGGATTGGGATGTGATGGGACAGCAGATCAGCTCAAACTCTGGTTCAGCAGAGCACATTCCCCTGGGGACTGAAACACTAACTTGTATTCCCATAATTTACCTTCCTGCATTCCCTCGACACCCCCAGCCTTTTCATTCCACCACCCTCGTGAACAGTAGGGGGGTCTGAGCTGGCCTGTGGAATATCGATTTCCAGAACCATGCTTTTTGTTTCATCCGCCCTCTCTGTGGAGGAGGAGGAAGCTGTTGTTTAATCATGTTTCTTTTTCCCTTTTTCCAAGCATCAGCCCCAAGGACGTGCAGTTGTTCTTGCGCGTTGTAGATCGCCTAATCCGTCATGGTCCCGACCTCAGGAAAGGGTGCGGAACCGCAGGCGTGTTGTCAGCCCCTCTACGCAATGCAATGTCGGTATCTTCAGGAAGTTTATAGACTGGGTTGAAGCGCGACCACGGAGGGCTAGGCATTATGTTGGAGTGTCTGCTGTAATTTGCACATTGCCCTGCTATCTTCCAACAACTACTGACGTTTGATTCCTTGCTCCAGAGTCCAATGGGAATGGTAAACGATGTGACAGAGCCAATACGATAATTGTAGGGCGGTAACTGACATCCAGGTTGTGATTTAAAAATGCAACTGAATGATTTAAAAATTGATTTAGATAAAATTGTTAGCTGCACACATTTGAAGCCAGGGGCTGCCAGTCCTGGGGCCCATAGCCTCACGATGCACGAGGACCTTAACGTCATGGTAGATGGGTTCCGGACAGCAGAGACCCAAGGGCGGACTGGCCGTCCCCTGGCAACCCTTCAAACCAGCGCCCTTTGATGCAGTGGCTATTTAAAGAGGGGCACTCTGCTGGGGGCGCTTTCACTGAGGTGATGGGTGGCAGGATGTACATGGGGAGGACAGTGACACCCCCCAGCCACGCTGGATCGTACAAAGACAGCATCCATGGGCCGTATGCACATAGAGCCATTACCTCATATGTTAGCGCAGGCCTTATGGCTTAAACTGGACATTTATTGTGAGGGCAGTGCTGCCCTTTCTCCTCCTTCGCTTTATTCTTTCATTTTCTACTCACCTTAAGCATTTTATGGGGGAGGTGGTTGGCTCTCTGGGTTAGGCTCCTGCGTATGTGATCGGAAGGTCGCTAGTTCAAATCCCATCCTCAGCAGAATAATCACATGGTCACTGGTTCCTTGGGCTAGGATGTTTACTCAACCTCCCCCCCCCAAAAGAAAAAATGCTCCAGGGATACCAGATAAATGTCTTGACCCTGTGCTCACACCCCAAGCTTTGGTCTCAGCTGTGTGTGTGTGAGACATGTGAAAACAAGCATTCCAATGTACTTGTGCAGATAAAGTGTCACTTCATTTCACGTTTTGTCTTTTGTTTCTCCCCATTGGCCTGATACCTCTGCCTTCCGCCTCACTTCCTTCCATGACATCTACTGTCCATCTCTCTGTCTCCTCGCTCTTCCCATTAGCCGAGTTTCTACAAGGGTGTGGCCGGCTCACAGGTGACCTTGAGCAGCCTGGTGAACCAGTCGCGGGCCATGCTGGAGGAGCAGGGGCGCCACCTGCTGACGCCGCCCGAGCGCCAGACCATGGGCTACTATCTGGAGGAGTACCGGGACGGCCACGTGGGTGTGGAGCAGCTGGTCATGGCGCTGTTCGAGCTCTTCAACACGCACGCCAAGGTGCGGCCTGCAGGGGGCAGCAGAGCTTGAGGGCCTGGGCTTGTATGAAGCAGCAGGGTAACTCAGCTGAAATAATTGTACCAATGAGTTAAATAGACAATAGCCTATATGAACTGCTTCAGGTAGAAACTGACATCCAGTCCCTTGGCGATGATTGGCCGATATGATATGTTTGCAACAAGTTAAGGTTATTAAAGTTAATTGTACCACAGTCTTATTCAGTAAGCAGACACACGGTTTCTTGGGGTCATGCCGTTTTGTATTTCTAGCTGATGGCCCCATCCTCGCCCCCCTCCCAGTTCTCTCTGCTGTCCGAGGTGCGGGGTCTCGTGGCCCCCCAGGACCTGGAGCGCTTTGACGGGTTGGTGCTGCGCCGCGAGATCCAGGTCCTGAAGGCCCGACAGGCGTCTCCGACGGGGGTGGCAGCCCTGAACCCCGACTCCTCCTCCATGGTGTCCTACCCTGACACCCTGACCTCCTCGGCCAGCTATCTGACATCCACCACGCTCAGCTCGGCGCGGGTAGGACACTCGTGCTAAGCTCAGCTCACTAATACGCAGTCCATAGACCCCCACACTACACGTACTGCTAAACTGTCACCTATGACATCAGCAGGAGACAGTCCCATTCCGCTTTGTGTTTGAAGCCTGTTTAGTTTTATTAACCTGTCAGCCAATATCCCGCTATGGCAGCCATGATGGACGACACGGGCAGTTATGGATTAGCGCTGTTACGTATCTGCTGGTACAAGCTCATGTGACAGACCGCAGGCTACCGCACTGACTGCATGGGGTTTTACCAGTGTGATGAGCCGCTGGCCTGCTCTCAGAGGGCAGCCTCTAGCACCGTGAGCTTCTCTAGGACTTACCAGACTTTCCCATGATGCAGCTCTCTGCGGGGTTTCTTTCTTGCTGCCGTTACCAGAGGTGTAAGATTTTTGCACCTCTGCGCCCACAGCACTTGTTACAAGAAGAACACCTAAAACATAAGTTCGCTCAGTCCTGACGTGCCGAGGTGCTGGTCCACGAGTGTCGTTTCTACACTGGCTTCATTAATCATACAGTGCCCCCCCTTCCGCCTATGTGCCTGTCTGCCCGGGCACCTTAACATCAATCCGACGCCTCCATTCAAGATCGCATAACGAGGTCCTGGGGGAGCGGGAAAAGATGACGGTTCCGTTTCTGCCGAGTGGCCCCCTCTGCCGTGGGGGCTGTCATTTAGGCAGGAAGATGAAGGAGTTTCCCCTGCTGGAGTTTAAGGAGTCAGTTAAAGACCGTGCAGAGGATCAGCCGATGACACTAATTAAAGTATCTCTCTGCACTGCAACCTTATCTGCATCCCCACCCCTCTGTAACCCCTCCCCTCTTCCCAGGAGCGACTGCTGTGGTTGATAGATATGATGGAGGTAGGCACCCCCCAAGCCACACAGCAGAATGCGTTTCCTGTGATCCTGTTCAACCTTTTTTTTGCAGAGTGGTGAGACTGGGTTTGTGAATGCATGCATCTTTGCATGGATGATGTTTAGCGTGTTGCATGTGAGTCGCGTGTGGTGTTTTCATAAACCATGTGGATTTCTCTCTCCAAACCCATCATCTCCCTTCTGTTGACCCTGGGGGGCGTTATGCTGACTACCAGGGGCCCATGGGTGGGGCGATCACCCAAGCAAAGTTCCTGACCCCCCGCAGAATGACATGATCCCCCCACCCCCCAGTTACAGACTCACTGGACTCTTGTCACGCTGATCCCTGCTCATGATATATATTTTTTTCATCAAAGAGAATTACTTTATCAGCAGTGGAATCACTTTCAGTTTTCTTCATGTTGAGTTTTTGAAAGTGGCACCAAACTGCGATGTTCTGCTTTTTAAAAAATCTCTTCTACAGTAAATATCCACAGTGAGACAGTTTTGCCACGGTCATCACCGCCGGTTGAGCCTGGTGCTTCGTTTGCTGAGGATGTAATTGAGTCGGCACCCCCCCCCAAACTGCAGTTAACAGCTGTGCTTAATAAATTTCCCCATGTGCTCGTCACTGTCTTAAGTAGGCTTTAAACGTCACTGCAACCTGTTTCCCCGTGTTCAGTGGGGTTTAATGACCCAGATATGGTTCAGTTTACTTAATTTGCTCAGTCCTCTTCATGCGTATTTGCATATCGGTGAGTATTTTAAGGTGGATTTGGGTGTAGTCAGGCGTGCATTACCACGTGTTTCACGGTGTGGACACCTGTGCAGAGATTTAAGTGTCAAAACGCAGACAGTCATCACTTTTCACAAAGATCGTTTCATTGTTTTACAATTTCACAATCCGTCTCCTGAAAAATGGAAGTGCTTTTATTTGGACTTGACAGGCCAGTGCGTGCCTGTCTTTTTAACGTCAGGAGAAGCGGGTAAGATGCTTAGATGGATGGATAAATGTTGAAATTGCTCCTTTCTCTTTTTCTCTGTCTTTCTCTCGCCCGCTCTTCAGAATGACAGCACGACGGACAGCAACGCTGAAGAAACGCAGGAGAGCATGAGGGACCTACCTGATGTGTCTCTGGTGAGCCAGGCACCTGCACCCCAGGGACACATTAAAGAATAATGGGGGGGTTCTGGCAGAGGGACAGGGGGGTGTCTAGCTGCTCAAAGGGATAAAAGTATGAAAATTCCGGCAAAAGCGCGTCAGCACAGATGAAAGTGTCCACCAAGTAAACAGGAGCTGTGAATAAAGAAGCAGGTGAGGAGGAGATGAAACAGACCAGAGTCTGACAAAAGATGCCAAAAGGGGAACAAACAAGGGACGAGCCTTTGAACATGGAGCGAAAGATACAGGGAGCAGCCGGCCAGTGAGAGAGAGATGGGAGGGAAAGGGCGAAAACGGAGGGGACAGTGACCCCCGATAGTCTGGTCTACGAGCCCAGAGGTGGATGGGAGCGGAGGAGACGCTTATACTCGACTGCTTTACACCTGAGGTGCCACAAAATATTCCGGAAGTGCTAAACTGCTTAAAGAGTCTACTTTAAACCTACCTTTGTGGACACGTAAGAAGCGGAAACATTCATATCCATATACCAAATCATTTTATTTAGTTTCGTTCTCATCAACATCCATCCATTAAAATTTCATTTTATTTCCATTTATATGTCTGATCTGCTGCAGTGGGTTGTGGCCCCATCCTCGGTTATTCCCTGCCTTCTGCATATTGTTTTTGGGATGGTCTCTGGACCCCCGAGACCCTGTAAAGGACAAGTGATATAGAAGGTGATTGAATGAGTGAATGAATGAATGAATGTCTAATCTGTTTTCTTTTAGCATTTGTTTGATTCAGAGGCGTCTTTCTCTTACCAGACTTGCTTCTCTGGTGACAGGACTTATGGTCATATGGTGTCTGTGATGTCACATGACTCACTCTAATTTCTAGAGTTTTGGGGTAGGAATCAATAAATTGTGCAGAAATGACCCAGGTAAGCCGTAAACGTGTTTCTACCCCCCCTCCCACATGCCCCGACGCCGTGTGCCCTGCCCATGTGGCTGCTGTTTAACTGGTTCCTTGCTCCAGCTGGCTCGGAGTGTGACTTTGCGGACGTCCCACTTCTCCCGGAAGTTCCCGGAACGGACAGCAGCTCCCTGACATGACTCACCCGCGAATGATGCGCAGTGTCCTGGAAATCTGTCGTTCTGCTATTCAGCCCCAGTGAAACTAGCTGGCAACTTTAACTATCGCAACCTCCCCCCACCCGGTCGGCAAATTTTACTGTCTGCACCCCTAGCACCCCGCCCCCCCAAACAGCACTAGGCTTGGGCCAGTATTTCATTTTTAATACTGTCATAATCTTCCAGACATTATACCCCGGTATACGGTATTTTAAAAAGCAATGCTATTCTGGTATTTTGTAATTAAATGGAGGTGGAGGAGTTGGGGTATTTACAAACAAAAATACCTAGTATATGGTATTACCATAATACCGGCCAAGCCTAGCCAGCTCCCCCCGCCCCCCCTCCCGCTTGTCCCTCATCCTCTGCACAGAAATAAGTATGCCTGAGGTTGGATGTCTGACGGTGTGTCTTTGCACTTTCGTCTTCCCGAGCGGTTCCCTCGTTCCAGGCTGAGAGGAGCTTTAAGAAATGAAGCAGGCGTGCATCTGGTCTCCGTGAGCGTGTCTGTCAGTGTGTGACTGTACGTGTGTGGGTGTTCCTGCTTGTTTCTATGACAACCTCCCCTGTCCTCTTACCTCCCCCAGGATGACGTGCAGTCCACGGCAGACTCTCCCCCATCTTTCAAACCCCCTCCCCCCCCGGGGGTTCACAGACGAAACAGCCGACAGGATCGGGCCAGGAGGTCCTCCTCTGACTCTGAGTCGGGGCTATGCTTCACGGCGCCCCCCCGCCTCCCCACGGCCCCTGACTCCCCCATGAAGGAGACGGTGGCCTCACAGCTGAGCCTGGTCACCCAGCGTCCCATTGGACCCTTCCCCCGTGTCCAATCCCCGAACCGGGCCAACCCGCCCCCTGTGCCACAGCCTGCCCTTTCCCCGCCCCCCGCATCCCTATTGGCCACGGCCTCCAGCACGGACAAGCCGCCACCCCCTTCGTCACCTGGCTCCAAACAGCAGTTTGTCATGGTGGAAGTGCACAGGCCTAACGCAGAGCCTGATGTTAATGAGGTTCGACCGCTGCCCCAGGCCAGAGGTGAGGGACGGGGGCATGGAGTATAGCAGGGGTCTGTACGGTGGAGCGTAGGGGACAAGAATGCTGTGGGGGGGGGGTCCCTGGAGGCAGAGGAAGAGGGTGGTTTACTCTAAGAAAAAATGATGAAGGACGCACATAGAATTATGATATATGTATACTACAGACAGCTTGTTAGCTGAAGGTTTGGAAATACCTACCCAGACACCGCCAGATATATAACCAGTAAGATCTCAAATACTAGACGCAAGCAAAAATGGCTTTAAAAAACACCCTAAATAAGTAGGTATCTCACTGAATGACAGTCTAGCCATAGAGAAATGAGGAATCTAGGAAAAGAATCAGCTGGTGGCCTCTCTGTAACCCGCTCAGGATCCATGCGGGGGCACAGAGCCAGAATCCAGCAGATTGAAACTTCTAGGCTGCAAAAAGGGCATCAGGGCTTTAATTATAATGGTCCTCAGTCAATATTTCAAATGTATAGTTACAGTAAACAAAACAAATGGAACATCCAGCTGCTACATAAAGCATATATACGCATACGTTATGCTGCGGTACCTCCACAACTGCACATGACCTTTGACCGGAGAAGCTACCAGCAAGCAGGAAACGACCCAAGAGGTCCCACCCACCTTCTGCATGAAACACCTTTGCAGGATGTCATGGCAGCAAGTTCACCGACTCAATTATACTCGGTCCTTAGGGCTGCAGGGTACCTTGTTATCCGGACGCAGTACCGTATTTTGGCCCATAGCGCAAAGACGCAAGAGCAGCATCTGGCATCAAATTGACGGTGTTAAACCCCCCCCCCCCCCCCCCCAATAGCCACATTTTATTGCCCTGCCCAGCAGCTAAACTTACTCCACCCAAACTTATACAGAAGAAGATGACACCTGGGCTGCATGATTTGTAATAAATACTGTTTGCGTTTGCATGAACCGTTTTTGGCATTAAAGGCACATTAATATTCTCACTTGAATTAATGAAGCCTGCAGGCTCACTCTGTTGACCTGGCCTATTCAGTGCTTTTTAAAAGGCCTGGAATCACCTGCAGGGAGGTAATTCATGCCAGGAGAGCAATTAAGATTTTAACACTGCACCCCAAATGTTAATTTAGCGTGGTGGACTGCACAGGTGCCAGACGGGCTGCAGGGCTGCGTATGTCTGGCTATTTCAACAAAGCAGAGAGACGCCTGTAAAAGCCAAGGATGTATAAATACGTTGTATGTGGCGTGTAGTGAATGTGTTCTGGCCACATGCCAGCATTTAGCACATGGAGGCAGCTGCAGGGTTTGTGCGTGTGTTTGTAAACGTGTATCTGTGTGCAGTGCATATGTGTGCATCTGTGCACATGTAATGTCATGACGTGCCGCATCCAAGCACAGGCACCTGTGCGTGTGAGCGTGCAAGTGTCCAGCTGTAATTCTCAGTCCCCGTAACCTCCCCCCCCCCCCCCCCACCATGACCCGCACACCCAGGCGGGACACTGTCCCAGCTGTCAGACAGCGGGCAGGCTCTGAGCGAGGACAGCGGCATCGACATCGCCGATTCGGGGACACTCAGCGAGGATGGCAGCCCCCGAGTGGGCAGGACCCGCCCCCAGCAGGAGGCGCAGGGTGTGGATGCTGCATCCAAACCGGTGAGGGGGTGGGGGGCAGGGTGAGGTCTGACCAAAATACCATTGAAGAAGCACAGCGCTGAGTAACGTCGACTCTCCAGCTTTTAAAGCTTTCTTCCTACTTTGTGCATTAAGTTTGAACGTGTTTTTATTTTACCATCTTCTGTTTTACATCTCATCTCATTGCTCCATCAGTCAAGCATCCAGAACCTTAAAAGGCAGGAACAGGAAGTAACTGCTGCATCGTGCCCCCGGGATCTTTGCCACCTTACAGGAGTAGAGCCACGATGTGTCCAGCACTTAGTGAACGCATCAAGCTAAGCAGAGCCCTCGCGCTTCTCAACTCTGTGACTCAGAGCGCAGAAAACAAACAAATGAAAACGAGTGCTTAAGCATAAGCGTGTTAACGTTGCTATAGGTAGTTGCCATGGTTATGGGTGTCTGTTAAGCCGCGGGGCGTCCCTAATCCGCTTGTCGATGTGGTTTAACGCGTACCCTGCGTGCTGGGATTTTTCGGCTCATCGACGACGGACTGGAGGTTTGATAAGCGCTGTTTCTGAGAGACCTTCGAGCACTTTGAGATTAAAAGCACTTTTCTTTCCCGAATCAGTCTCTCTATTGTCTTTTTTTTCCCCTCACTCTGTCATGCTTCCTCTTTCTCACTCCTCCTCTCCATTGCCCACAGCCCGGCCTCTTGGAGCCCACGTCCTGTCTCGTCCGCGTGCCTAAGAGCGCCAGCACCCTGGGCATTGCGATTGAGGGTGGGGCCAACACCCGCCAGCCGTTGCCGCGAATCGTCACCATACAGGTACATACGCGGCTGTCCCGCTAAAGCTTTCTGCTTATACTTTCTCTTTTTTGCCCTTTTCAGAAAATTTTCCCAAGTTTTTCTCCCCCATTTGGGATGGCCAGTTGTCCCTTTGCTCAAAGTTCACCTCCTCATTGTATGACAGCCAAGACACGCCCCTCCCACGTGTGCTGTCACACCCATTTCCACTTATTTTAACTCTCTCAGCTGATGTTACACACTTGACCCAGATTAGTGCTGACCCACAGCCCCATGGGTGTCTAGTGGTCACTAGACACCCCCCTTCGAAATCCAGGCCCCTCTGAACCTCTTCCTTATAGGGGGCTAAAATGGTTCAGCCAGGATCAAACCTGGATCCTCCCCGCAGATGGGGCCCGCAGGCAGCCAGGAGAACTGATTTATCCCGTCAGCACGGTATGTTTGCAAATGATGAGTCACCTGGAAGCAGAGGACGCAGTAAGAGAGGACCTACAGAGCCACTGCCAGAGCAGTATCCCTGCTCTTAATGGGTCCTTTACCCTTCCAGGGCTCCGGCTCCACCGCAGAATTTTTTATGGGTAATCCGGAAATGGAAGATCGGGGCTGAAGATGTGTAATTAATGCCCTTTGATTATCAGTCTCTCTTTCAGTTGGTGTCTCCTTTGAGTTTACGGCTTTCATATAAAATCACATAATTGCATATTTGTATTAGCTTTTTCCATTTAACCTTTGCTCTAAGGAATGATTTATATTTTTGCATATATTGGAAGAATTCTGTTGTTCCAGTCTTGGGGTTAGAGATTCAATTTTATCAAAAGCTGGAGTAAAAGGGGGGAGAGAGGCACGGCTTACATGGTGATGTTTATGAAACGCTGCTTAGATGGTGCTTGCTCCTCTGCAGATAGTTAAGCATCTCTGTGTTCCCGCATGTCCATCTTCCAACCACTTATTCGGTAAGGGAATCCAGAGCCTGTCTACATGAGACGGGGACCCTGGGTGGGTGCCAGTTCATCACAAACACACATCCTGCATTCCACACAGAGACAAAGCCGGGTGGGATTTTAACCCCCAGCCCTGGAAGCGTGAGGCGATAATACTACCCATTGAATCACTATGGAATGCTGACATAAATATGTGTTAGACAATAGGATATGAAAGTCTGTAAACATTTACATTTTATTTATGTAGCAGCTGGTTTTGTCCAAAGGTATGTACATTTGTTGAGTGTGAAAGTGGTGAAATCTTTCTACCTGCCCTGGGATTTGATCAGCCTATCCAGCTGAACCATAAGCCAGCTGTGGTTTGTACATATCGTGTTATATCTTGTGATGTCACTACGTCAGCATATATGTCAAAATCCCAGCATTTCTTCATCCTTTGCTTGACTTCGCTTGTGATGCTGAAGTGTGGGGTACAGTGACAAACCGGGGCAGACCATCGCACCCATAAATTTTTGCTCTGAATATTGTGTGTGGCGTTTAATTGGCTGTTTTCGCCGGAACACTGCCGACTGGGCTGGTTACACACTTGCAGCCAGAGTGGGGAAAACTGAGGCTATCGTACCCAATCAGCCAACATGTGACAGAGCATCAGTGCTAATTGAAGGATTAACCTTATCTTATATGAAGTTTTAATTAACTATCAACCTACTTGCTTACCAACTTCAGGGGGCTTTAAATTCAGTGATTCTGTGTCTCAGCGGTGAATGACACACACACGATGTGCACAGGGTGTTCTTAAGTTAATTTACTCCAGTTTTGACCACAGAAAGTGAATCACATACAGAGAATGAGTCAGCAGATAAATGATCTAATTTACAGCCTTTGCATGACAACGTGGTGTGATCAGAGAATCGCGCGGTGTAAATTATGGACGGCTGTTAAACAGAAACACAATCAATGCCCCATTTAGGGCAAGAGCCAAGTAAAGTAAAACCAATATTCTTAGCTTCTGCTGATCAGCCCTTTCTGCTTTACTGTACTGATGGGTATCGGGCAAAACTCACTGGCTGCTGGATCAGGACTGCTGGCCATTATTTCTCTGCTTTTATTCTGCTTATTTTTTTACTTCCTTTACTCTCCCTTGAATAATTTTCCTCCTCCACACTTCTCTGTTCTGTCCACCCTGGTCCATGCAGAGAGGTGGCTCAGCGCACAACTGCGGCCAGCTGAAGGTGGGCCAGGTGATCCTGGAGGTGAACGGCGTGTCGCTAAGGGGCCGGGAACACCGGGAGGCTGCACGCCTCATCGCCGAAGCCTTCAAGACCAAAGAGAAAGACTACATCGATTTCCTGGTCACAGAGTTCAATGTTTCACTGTAGGACGGCTATCCCTCTCCAGGAACACTCCTAACAGGCCAGTGCTTGGGCTCAGGTGAGCCGCCAGTGCTAGAGAACATGCTAGAACATGTTTTGGGTCAAATCCAAATAATCCTGCGCCCTGTGTTTAGTCTTGACTTTGTCCAAATGCTGAGATCCTAAGGACATTCACCACTCCACCAGTGCTCTCAGTGGCTTTCCCACAGCTCCCAGTTATGCCTGGGACACAGTGTGGGCCTGTGGTAAACTTGTACCCAGGGTGACATCCAAACTTTGTCTTCTGGATGGGCGTCCAGTCAACAAAGGACACTCGAAGGATCTGAAGGTTCTGTCACTGTGTAGGTACTCATGGGGAAAGGTCATGGAGAAGTTGGGTGACCTCACTGAACTCCACCGGATGACAGGGTATGCAGTGTTGGAGTGTGGAAATGGGTACGGCACATCACTATACCCAGATCTTTTCTGGTCTTCACTACGACGTTGCAGCCAAACAGAGCTGGTTATGCAACCTCAGGAAGAGTAACCTACTAGTGCTGCAACACCTCCCACAGCTAACACCGTCTCCTGTACCTGCAACTGTTCTTTTAATGAGCACCTACCGGTAAATGTGCAAGTGAATTGATGTAGATGCATAAGGAGAGGGGGGGAAATGTCACTGCAAACACAATTAGATTTAATGAAATGATAATCTTTCAAAAGGTGGTTTAAATAAAGTGCTAGGCCTTTGGCGGTCTGTTCTGTACAAATACTCTTTAAAATAATTAATTTTTATTATTTCCATTGTGAGCCCACTGTATTGGTCTTGTCCCTAAAAAGATGCCATCGACTAAATCAAACCGCAGTTACAATGAGAGACAGTAATTAGCCAGGGACGGAGATCTGAGCCCTCAACGGAGCCCATCACAAACAAAGCGTGCCGATGGCCGGGCTTGGGAAATCGTTTATAGACTTATGTGGGGTGAGTGAGAAAATGAATGGAGATTGAAAGATGATCTGGTTGTTATACTCGTGTGAGGCAAACCAGGAACATAGACAGAGGAACTGATGAAGAACTTTGTGAAGATGATGGTGAATCCAGTTGAAAGTGGTGCTTATGGATGCTGAAGTGACCGGGCTATTGGAGATGGGGGTGCATAGCACTGTGATCGGTTTCAGTATATCTTGACAGAGGAGATCTCTGGGCCGCAGGTATCCGTGGGTCGATTCCCGCTGCCATTGGGCCGGGAGGGATTCCTCACATGCCAAACGTTGGCATAGTTGAGGCTTTAATGTTTTGGCCCCTTGGTTGTCTGGGGGCAGGGGAGAGAGTTGTAAGGAAGGAGGGAGTGAAGAAGTTTTCAAGCCTGGAACATAGGTTAGTGTTTGGGAGAGACTTTTTTGGGCTTACATTTGCACGGGTGAGGCTGGAACTGGGGAAAAATCTCTAACAAATTCTATTTTGAATAGGTAGTAATGAACAGATGAGAGGTGCATTGTGGGAACTGCAGTATTTTTCTAAAGTGACAGACTGCTGAACAGAAATGTTGTTTGTCTGTCTGCCTGGTGCATGTCTCCCAAAATTTTAAATATATATAAATACATTATATATCTATATATTTTATACTGAATTATCACTGAAGTTCCTATAATAATACATAAATCTGTGAATATTGTGGTCACATTCAATATCTTTGACTCTTGATTTAATGATTTAATTGTAGCTATCCCCATTCCTGCTTTACTTTATTTGATGTAACATATTTTAAAATGCTTGATTTCAGTTGTATATGTTTGTCACTCAGCGTATGATATTTTATGAAGCCTTGTAGTGCTATGGTACCGTACCATTGTGAAGACTGCAGAAATCAGACACGCCTGTAGCCCTTATACTGGACCTGCCATATCTTTGGTCATCTGCTCATCTTAAGTCATCCTTTTAAACCATCTGGAACTTTCGATGTATTTATTTTAATACAGGCGGGGACTTGCAATTAAAACTGGTAATTTCCCAAAATAATAAAAAAAAAAATTCATAATATGTCTCTGTTGCTTATCTTGTATGTGTTGTCCTGATTCGAACACACTTGACAGACATTTAAGCTGACGTCTCCTTAGTCCCATGGGGGACTGAAGGTGAACAGAACAGGCTTCGGCATTGACTTATGAGTGTTTCAGACGCACAAATACAATTATCGTTACTTTCAAATACAGATTAGGTTTGTCTATGTGTGTAAAAACAGAAAAGGCCAAAAATATCGTTCTGCATATTTACCCCTGTTCAAATGCTGCATGACAAAGATCTATGAATCTCTGTAGGCGCTTGAGCTCTTCTTTTCTAAATGCTAAATGTATTTCATGCCCCTAACGTTTAAATAATAGTTATTTTAAAATGTGTTTTGCGATTCTAACCTACAGATCGAGGCGATTATACGCTTTATTGACGGCTTTTTCTGACGCAGTTTTACAGATGATACGTTTATTGATTCGGTGAAAACTGCAGTAACGGCTCTAGTGCAAAGAAATTGAAAAATGGCAGTAAAAATAGTTCGTCTGTCACCTCTATCTCATTTCTCCAGTGATTCGGTTCACCAGCAAAATTACCTAAAGTACTTTCAAGCAAATCCTACTTCCTAAAGCAGGGGTTTCCAACTCGATCCGGTCCTGGAGAGCTACTATCCAGTAGGTTTTCTGTCCCACTTGGCTTCTGATGAGCCACACCTGTTCCTGGTATTTACCTGAGAACAGGTGTGGCTCATCAGAAGCCGGGTAGGATAGAAAACCAACTGGACGGTAGCTCTCCAGGACCGGAGTTGGAGACCTCTCCTAAAGTAACAGCATCTTATAACCTATGCCACCCTCCGTCAGATTTTTATAGACCGTTAAAGTCCTTTCCACATACTAGCCTATGATGTTTCATTTATGCCGAAAATTTATTTAATTTTAGCTGTAAAGGCATTTATCATGCCACCAATGCTCGGTGGATAGCGGTTAGATGATAATTAAAGTGCGCATAGGGTAGGCAATTGCCTTTGTATTTTAATGACTGACAATAGAAATGATTATGCTTAAAACTTTGTCATATCTTAAAACTAATTAGGCAAATAGCCAGCTACATGATAAAGCTTTGTACAGTGCAAATTAAGCATTGTGTTAGTGCCATTTGAGGATCAACGACATTTATACATACCTGACAAAAATTTGATAGGCCTATATAAAAAATTAAGATAGCATTTCTAGCAAGTATGCATTTCTATATATGTTCCGCAATTGAAATTGGATAATTAATTTAATAAAAATACGAAAAGCACAAATATATAATAAAAATGCCGTAAAAGCAGTATGGATCCATAATAAAAACGCCGGTCACGCGTCCGCTAAATCTGGTCTATTAGCTCCCTCCATAGGGAATAGTAGATACTTCATAGCAATGGAAAATGGTCTCATTTAACGAACTTTCCAAGGTTTTACTTTAAGTATTTCTGTCACGTTTCTCTCATGGTCTTGTGTTTATTTGGTAACAACACGTGCATTTATTTCCGTACACGCCGACCTTCTTGCTCCGGAAGAGCGCTTTCCTGTTGATTGTCCCGCGGCGCTCGGCCCGAGCCACCAAACCCCTAACGTCAATCAAGGCGAGCCTCAGTCCCGCCCCCGTCCGGTCAATCCCGCACTCGACCAATCAGCATCCAGTGCAGGGCGCTATGTTAATTTTATGGCAGGTTTTTTTTCTCCACGCCTTCAAATCTAAATTATGGTGCGTGGCTGACTGAAACTAGTATTTATCGGAAAAAGTTTGTGGTCAGAAGCAAGGTAGCTAATGCCAGCTTTAAAAAACTTCCTATAACAAAGTTTCTTAAATATAATGGGTCGTAGCTGCACGGGGCTATTTGAGAATCGGCCAGAACCACCCTTGATTTCCGTGGTGATTGTCTGGGACCCTTGTTTACTAAGTATCTCGGCGAAATGGCGAGCCTGGAAACTGGAGACAGTGCAGTACTTTCGCTCCGAAACCAGTCGCTGAGGAGATGGACCGAAGGAACGCGACAACACTGTACCGCGTGGACTGTGAACGCGCGCCGCATCTCGTCGCTAAGTGACACGGGGACCTCGTGCGGTTCTCAAGGCAACCGCCGCCAAATCAGTGCGACCACAAACCTAGATTGGCGTCGTTTAACTTTTCAGTTTGACTAGTTAAAGGCTGTTAATCCGCGGTACTTCTGCGAGGTAAGTTTTACATTGTATATTGTACGTTGATGTTGAACCCGCTCCGTTTATTTCATTTTCATTTTAGTGTTAGTCTTGTTAGCCGATCTGAACAGTTGCTTTATCGGTGTTAAGTAGCTACCTAAGTCAGGCGTGCAGTACTTGATTATGCACCTCCATAATGGTATATTGTGCCAGTTATCTGAAGTGCATGTTATTTTTTTCTGGAAGTTACAACTGAATCGAAACTCAAAAGTATCACATCTTCTGTCCAAATACTGGCTTGTCATTTCGCAGTTCCTCTTGATACTCTGTAGGAGCAGTACTTGTACGCATGATGTGTGGGGGGGAATCACTAGGTTTTGGAAAATACTCGTTCTGGGGGTGGCCTAAGTTTGGCATTTAGAAGGCGGTCCTCCGTATGTCACTGTTTTGACTGCCAACCTGGTCTGGTTTGCACAGTTCGCTAAGTTCTCTGGAAATTCACCAGGACTAAATTAAATTTTGGGTTTTACACCAGGTACCTGTTTCATTTCAGCATGCATTTTCTCTTTCCATTGAGATTTTTAACCTAGCACAAAAATAATTAGATTTAATGCAATTGCATGTAATACTAGATATGTTTATAGTAAGTACTTGTACCATACCCATCTGACATATAATATGACATAAAACTTTTCAAATGGGCTTAAAGCAGGGGTCTCCAACTCCAGTCCTGGAGAGCTACTATCCAGTAGGTTTTCTGTTCCACTTGGCTTCTGATGAGCCACACCTGTTCCTGGTATTTACCTGAGGACAGGTGTGGCTCATCAGAAGCCAGGTAGAATAGAAAACCTACTGGACAGTAGCTCTCCAGGACCGGAGTTGGAGACCCCTGGTTTAAAGGCTTGTTATATATTTTATACTTCTCCATTGAATCCGGCTTTTTACGATATTAATGCCACTGCATAATTAGAAGATGTTTTCAAAGAGCTGGCAAAATATTTGATGGCCTATGCGATAATTTTCCTTTACACTTGGCATCATGCGAGGCAAGTCCAGACTGCTGTCTAAGGATGTACAGGAACAGTCTTCCATGCTGATTCCCTTATTTAGGCTCAAGCAAGTGTGTGTATATGGGATAGAAGAGCCAGTTATCTCATGCGCTGGCAACTCTTGCTGAAATGGAGTCATTAGGCATTGTTTCATGGTTCTTCGAGCCCCTCCTCCTGATGCCAGGTGTGTTTTTAAATGCCTTGGTCACACATCATTAAAGCCATGTGCAAAGTAATCAGGCTCATTCTCCTTCTGCCTTTGAGGTTTGTATGCTGGATTTAAACATCCTTAAACCACCTGTAGCATATTTCAGTTTGGCCTTCAGGTTCCATCAAGTGAACTTTGTATTGATGTTCATAAGATCATATTCTGACTGGAAGGTGGATTGATTACTCACTAGGTAGCACTGTTATCTCTCTCCTCAGTCCCGGGTTGAGGGTTCGAATCTTGACCCTGTTTGGTGTATATGATGACTCTGTGTGTTATGGTTCTTCCCCTGCAATCTAAAATATGAGGCAAATTAACTTAATCATTATATTAACCTCAGTGTTTATATGAGTGGGTTTGTTATTTTTGCTTTGTTCAGGTCCCCACAATGTTAACCTCAATTTTATAAAAGTCTGTGAATGAAATCAAAAAACTAAAATAGGCAAAAGTCTTATCTTGTTTGGTTACTTATGGTTAAGTTTAGGACTGGGTATGGTTATGGTTGTCATAGTCAGAATTAGGGTTATGCTCATAGAAATGAATGGAGGGTTCCACAGTGGTGCTGTGCGTGTGCACATGCATGCCCATCAAGAGTGTTCTCTTGCTGTGTACCCTGAGCTTTCTGGGATAAGGTCACAGTGAGTCTCGACCCTGTACTGGCTAAGCCATTTAACATGATGGATAGATTGATATTAAAACTATTTGACTACAGCCTTTTGGAGAATGAGATTATTAAAAAAAGAAAACAGCTTAAACATAGACCCGTAACGAATGGTATTAAAAGATCTGGTGAATTTAGCATAATGGAGAGGGCATTTGCATCCATATCAGTGTAGACTGAGCTTTCACTGAGCTAGCTCTGTCACCTAGAGCCATACCAGCTTAATTCTGGGATCTTACAAAATAGGTCCCTCACCCTGTCTGGCACTGTGGAAAGAATAAGCAGGTGAAATGTCACGAAACTTTCAGAGCATATTTCATGGTCTCTTCTGCTTATGGCTTGACTGCGGCTGTACCCCACAGAAGTTGTGCTTCAGTGTCGGATTCAGGAGAAGCACGTAGGTAATCGGCTTTTTTTTAATCTGGGATCTTGGGGAAAGACAAAGGCTTGAGGACGTCACACCTGGCCATACTGTCGTCTGCTGTGCTGGAAGGACAGGTGGTAGATAGCAACTATTGGGGAAAAGAACTGCAGATGTGGCTACAGGATGCACGCTCAAAGCTTATGGCTGCAGTTCAGGTGCAGTAGTTGCAGGCAGATGCAGTTAAGTCATCTTGCTGCAAAGCTGTCACTAGACAGTATGTAGTCCTGCTGGAAGGGCCCAATCACCCCTGCCAACGAGGACGCACTCAGAAGATTGCACCATAAGAGCGTAATGTGGTGGGGTGAGGAGAGCCAGCATAAATTATTGTGCAAGGATTTTAATTGAATTTGTTAGTTTAATTTTAACTCCTTAATCATTTGTATAAACGTGGATTGTTAGCAGATTAGCTGTTTGTTGTTTTCCTGGACCGTAGCGTAATGCTTGAGCACCCCCTTGTTATGGGAGGGTTGTCATGGTGACTGGCAGTCGCGGACTTAGGGAGCTTGTCCCTGCTGTCTAAGGAAATGTTGCAGGGCGTCTTTTAAATGAGGCCTCTAGGGCTTCACTTTAACAGGGGCTTCAAAGCTCAAAGCCTCTGTTAAGTGCAACACTCTTCTTATATCACATTTTGTTGTAAAATGAGACTAACTGTTAAGAAGGATTGTTAGTAAAGGTGAGATTAAGATATATAAGGAGAATGGAAATCTGATCATTCTATTGCTATTTGTTCTAGTATCTATTATTGTTTTCAGGGAGTTTTAATGCCTTTAATGTGTGTGTGTGTGTGTGTGTGTGTGTTTATTTATAATATATATATATATATATATATATATATATATATATATATATATA